GTAATAATGTTCTTCAAGAAAGACCATTAAGGTATCCATAATGAAGTTTATTATTTTTGAAAGTGAAATTATTTAAGCCCCAAATAAATGCAATGCTCGTCCACAGATGACCCCCAAAATAACATGTGTATGTATATGTCAACAGTGGATATGCTTAGCCTGACAATTTAAGTACATGAAGAAGTAGAATTCCCTTACTTACTTTTCCCATTTAATTCTGCTGACAATTGGTGCACTACCATGTGCTGTCTTCATATTGTCAAATACGACTTCCTCTATGCAGAAACTTGCTATGAATTTCTGTTGCTACACTTTAGAAAATTTGCCAGGCTGACCAGAATCCTTGAAGTAGAAGATTCTTAATTATACCTTTTTGGGCCTTAAGGACATGTAGCCATGGAGTTTATTTGTGTGAGTTGTGGTTGGTGTTTTTTGATGGTTTCTCTGGTATGTTTTGTTTTTTAATTTGTGTCCTATAAAACCTTCTGTTGGTTAATGATTACGCAATGCCACATGAATTTCTAAATTAAGTACTAGAACCAGTGGGGAGAATTTCTGAATAAAAATGGAAGCTACAAACTGAAACAAAGTTTAAAGTGTTTGTTGTAAGGACAGGGTTTGCCATGTCTCTTAACCTTTGTAAAGATCTTGATTAGTTAAATACCTCTTGGAGTATTAAATCTGCATATTGAGGCTAGTAAGCTAGTATTAATTTCTTGTTTGTTGTGAAATTTATGAATGGGTTTATGACTTGGCTCTTTGAATTATGTCTTGGCTCTTTCAGAAGTTTAGTTTTTAACTAGCAAATGATTGCTTGATAGTTTTAAGTGAGGAATTTAAACGCCATGGAGCATTCTGAAGAGAGACAGTTTGTTCATCTATACTGAAAAGCATGCTATGCTGTCACAAGACGTTTTTCCAAGATGCTCAAAGGATATCACTAGATATCAAAATAAGAAAGAGATCCTGGCTGTATGAAGAGCTCGCCAGTTATGTAGTGTAACAGTTATAAACTCCGCTGTATCTGTGCTTCTTTAGTGATGACAACCTGATATGGTTGGTGCAGAGACTTGATGGGTAATATTTGGACTCTAGCAGTAGCTCTGGAAAATGCCAAAACTTATTCTGTTTGCCACTGCACTAGCTAATATGAAAACTGTCTCTTTTAATATGCTTTTTGAAATTATTTCTACAGTAGTCTAAACTGATCTGAAGCTTTTAATTTTGCCCTGAATTTTTAAAGCTTACTTATCAATGAACACCAATAAATTATTGTCTGAAACAAACTTTTCAAAATGGTAATGGCAGTTTGAGCTACAAATAAAAGAATAATGTTACTTGAATTGTCTTCCTTGAGTCCTTTGTATCTTCATATACAAAGCTGTTGAAATGAAAGCTATCTGAGTTTGTTTACAGTTATTTTTTTTCAACTTCTGAATCAGTTTGCTTATTGGTAAAGGCTTTTTTGCAGTCATCTGGAAAAATGCAGGTTTTTGAACAGTTCATTTGCTTTTGGAGTGTGATGCCAATCAGGCAAAAATGAGGAAGCCGTTTTAGTTTCTCTCAACTTCCATTTTTAGTCAGACCCGACTGATCCTTAGGATCTCTCTATTACCCTTTCACAGAGACATGCTGTGGAGGTGTGCCTTTCCCTCATCCCGAGTATCAGACAGTGGCATTTCTGAGGGCGAGTGTCCAGTATGATTAAGGTGTCTCTGGCCTGTCTTCCCCTCCCTGTTTGGGAGCAGTGCTGAGGCACTCCATCTCCCAGCACTATGAATAAAGAATTGGTGCCCTCTGCTGTTAATAATTACCAGCTTGGGAGACCCTCTGGCGTTATTTAGCATGAGTTGTCTGACTTCTTTTCCTAGTATTGCTTATTTCTGGATATTCAGACTCCTGGGGGGGGGGTGTGTGTGTGTGGTGTAATTGGGAAAGCCAGGCAGGTTCCTGGTTGGGGAGATGGCTGCCACCATCCAGTCCAATGGCGCTGACTCCGTGCTGTCAACATGAATAATTTTTCAGCTTCATTTTGGCAGCCTGGTGTAAGGTGTTCATATGCTTCCTGGTCTCACTTTGTAGTGCCTCAGGGAGTGTTTACCTTCATGTTCAGGTTATAGATTCAGCCTTATTTTTATAATTTAACATTTAAATTATTAAATACTGCATATTTAAGAAATTTGTGAAAGAAGCGTCTGCAAAGCTGTGTCATATAGACCAAATGCAAATCTGGAACAATAGTAACAAAACTGTTCGTGTTGCTAACTTCAAGTATCCTTGATACACCAGATGGATTACTACTAATAATTTCAAGTTCTTTTTGAAAGAGTGGTAAATGTTCCTTAAAGTGCCAGAGAAACAACTATAAAGCAAACATTTTATGAATTCCATTTTTATTAATATTACTAGTAATGCCAGGTATACTGTGTCATGGATAAAGATTTTGAAAAATCTATATCAGCGTGTAGTGCTAGTTTTTGCACATCAACTAATGTGACTTGGGTATATTCACAATTGCCTAGGTACCTTTTTACATTTAATTACAAAATTGAGTATGTTATCACGTTGTTAAATTGTCTAATGGGAACGTTACTCATTCTTTATGCTGAAGGATGTAGGAGTGAGTTCTGTTTTGTGACTGGAAGACCTACATTCAGGTTGCACATAACTTTTTCTACTTCGGGTATTAATCGGTTTTGGTTTTTGTCCCTTGGTTCAGGTACTCTTATGGGAAGTTATTCCCTTCCTGTTTGTATGCAAATTTATTTGCAGCCAGTTAAAAAACAGTTACTCTTTGAGCAAAATTTTACAATGTCTTTTGCAAGTGTTGAAGTCCAGGTAGATTTTAGGAAACAGTCATATCATCTTATTTTAAATACAAGAAAGTTAAGGGAAGGTTGAGTTCCTGTTTGTTACTCTTGGAAAATTAGGATTGCTAGTAGTGGTTGGAGCTGTTACTGAGGTAGCTTGTGTGCAAAAGCAGGTGTAGAAGCACACCACGATTCGCCTGGGTGCAGTGGAGTGAAAATGACTGTTAAGTTTTGAAGTAATCCATCTGATTGTTGTTTCATTATACGTGTGGTAAACTGTGAGTTGCTTTTGATTTTATTTTTGTGGTGGTAGTGAGAGTCTTGAGTGTAACAATTCAGAACATGGCAAAGTGATATTTAAAATGTAATGGAAAGATCAATCAACCACTGTAGATGCACCTTAATTTACAACTTGTAGCCAGTTCAGGTGACTTGGAAGATTTTATTAATATAAAAGTTAAAAAAAAAAAAAAAGATTTAAGAAGAAGTAGACGTGCTGTGAGATTCGCATTAAAAGTTAATGCGATCATCTCAAGTTGTTTAATTCTTTGAATGTTGACATTTACTGTGGTAGCCTGAAATAAGCTTGGATGAGGAAATAGTGATTTTTTATTTTTTTTTTAGATATACCAATAAATGTAGTGAACTATGGTGAAAATCTGTCTACTGCTTTTATGTGCAAGATTTCAAATACTCTGAATGTTAACATGGCTGACAGTGACCTTTTAAGATAAGAGCAGTTGGATGCAGTTGCATTAGTCTATGCTATGATTTTTGTGTGCCTTAATGTCATGATCTATCAGTACTTAATGCAAGTTGTGGGATACTTGGAGTAAACTAAAAATGGAAGGAGTAAACAGAAGGTGGTATTTTTAACTGTTGATGGGCTGGAAAGACTATGTTCAAAAGGGAGAAGCTCTGTTACATGTCTTTTAAGTGAAGAACCAAATAAATGAATAAGAAATAGTTCTTTGAAGTTGCATGGTTTGTGTTGATATTAAAAACTGGGAGATAGAGGTTATGCTGCTGTCTTAAGTTATATGTGTGTATACATAGAAATACTAATTTATATCCCTTATCTACAAAAGTTTTATCATAGAGATTTTTACAAAACCTTTGCCTTTGGGCTGCTTCTTAAATGAGGGAGTTAATGTCTTGAACAAGCTAGGAAAGGGTTGATTTCATCTTGTGATGCTCTGGCTGTCTTACAGATGGCTGAAAGAATAATGCTAGAGGACTGACTACAAAAACCGTGCTATCTTAAATGTCCTCCTGGGGAGGTAAACTACTTTAGGTTTATGTTCTTAAATCAGTCTGGAAGTGTGATTTCTTTGTTAGTGTAAGAGACTGTCAAAATTTCATGTCAGTGAGAATCTACAGGTACATAACTGCCTTGCCTCTGCCTCTAGCTACTTGCAGTTTCTCTTCTACCTGTTAAATGTGTTGCTTATCTTGAGTAGCTACTGGCAGCAGTGTAGCTTATGCACCATAAGGAGATCTGGGAGGAAGTGTGCTTGAGATGTCTGAAAAAATGCTGTGTGGTATCTTGCTTTAGTATTCTGTATTTTGCCCAGAGGAGTTTGAGTGACAAATGCAATATAAATGTAGAGATGGAATAGATTATCCTGTTCCAGGGTCTGGGAGAGATTGACAGTACTTAAATGAGAGGGGAAGAAAAATATTTCTGGTACAAGTGACTGCTAAAACAGATAGAGAGTTTTAGAACTTCTTGCTTACATAGCTGTCTCTGGGTTGAAGTCATGGTTAGACTTGACTTGATTTGGACTTCTTGCTCAATAATCTCCATTTTTTAAAAAAGGTCTTTACCAGAGTAATGCCATTTTAATTTTGATTTCAAGATTAGGGTATTACTGCTTCTTTTAACTCCATATTACATCCAGTTAACAAAAATACAGAAGAGGCGCAGCTGTAAGGAAGAGGTTTGAGATACAGTGGTTAGGAAGCCAAAATGCTGTCAACATCTGGAGTAGTATGAGAGAAAGATTTTATCCTAGTTGTCTGTAATGGGTCAGGCTAGGATGGAGTTGATTTTCTTCATAGCAGCCCTTGTGGTGCTGTGTTCTAGATTGGTGACCAAGATGGTGTCAATAAACCCTCAGTGTTTTGGCTTTTGCTGAACAGTGCTTACCCAATGTCAAGGTTTCTCAGTGTGCCCCTCCCAGGAGCAGAATGGGGTGGGCTGGAAGTTGGGTAGGACACAGCCAGGACAGCTGATGCAAACTGACCAAAGAGATATTCCATACCATATATAGTGCCATGCTAAGCAATAAATCCAGGGCTGGTGGGGTGGGAAGGAGGAATTTTCTTCCAAAGTAGCAGTTGCTCGGAGGCTGGGTCGGTATTGGTCTGCTGGTGGTGAGCGTGATGGCTTTTGCATCATTTGTTTCTTTAAGAGTGGGTTTTTTTTGCTTTTGCACTTATGATTCTTTCCCTGATACTGCTGTGAGGGAATGAGCAAGTGGCTGTGTGGGGGCTAACCTGCCAGCCACCTCTGAATACCAGATTTCTCCACTTATCTTCATGCTGTTTTTAAAGTATGAACACAGTGCCTCTCCTTCCCACTTTGATGCCACCTCCACCATTTGTGGAGCCTTGCAAATTTATTTGTTTCAGAAATACAATATTGACAACTGTAGCCAAGAGACAGAAAGTAGAATTAGGAGCATGGTATAATAACTTCCACCAAGGGGAAGTAAAATGTTGTGTGGTGTATGTTGAACAGTTTTACAGATTAATTTCCAGTAACGTTGAACTTGCCCACCATGGTAACAGTACGCAGTGGTATGGGATGTTGACTAGAAGCACCTGATCATTTCAGCTGGTGAGAGCATAACCAAGGAAGCTGAAACCTTGGTGTCCAAGAAAACAGGGTTGTTAGGGAACAAGCAAGAGGGTACTAGGGAGGAGAGACAGTAGTGACTGGTTTGTTCATCATCAGTACACGGCTTTAACAAGTTCGTCTGTCAGACCTGCAGAAGGCTCAGGAAGCTAGGGACAGGGAATTCTCAACTGAGTCTCAAAAATTCTGTCAAAACTGAGAATGTCATATAGGTATCCGCTGATTCAGTTTGAAGTCCAAGAGTCCCTGTTTGTTTTGGAAAGCTTTCTAAGAAATCCTACTGCTTTTTTGTGAAATTGTGGGGGGTGCCAGAACTACACACATTTGAGGTTAAATAGTCAAAAGACAAGGTGCAATGGGATGCAAGTCTGCTTTTTCACATAAAATGCAGTAGATCGTGTACTCACTTAGCTGCAGTTTTTGTTAGAACAATTACTGAAATTTCGAGTGCTTTTAAATGTTAGAATACATGAAATAAAGAATTCTTTATTCTGAAACAGTTGGTAACACTGTCTTTTTTTCTTTGATTTGTGTGTGTGTTTTTTTTTTTTTTAATAGAATATTCAAATAAAAACTTTGGCAGATGATGTGGTAAGGTCTTGGTAACATCTTAATTAATGGTAACTCCACACTGCATGCTATTTTACTCCAAATGTGGACAATATAACATGTTCTTATAAGGATATCAAGCATTTGATTTCAGAAAATTGAGTTACTATTCCTAAAGATTTTAATTTGTGACTTGAAGTAATTAATGATCTCTATTTGGAGAAGCTTCTTTAACCACATTCTAAGTCCTTTAGTAATACTGTGGGTACGTTGTAACTGTTACTCAACAGTTCAAGTGTTACTTTTCTTGACCTTGTTCTTAACAGTAAATTATCTGCTGTGGTTCTTCAAAATTAGTTGCCACATGATTCATGTGGAATCATTTTGGGTAATAAATGTGTACTGTATTTCAAACAGCAAGTTTGTATTCAGTAGCACTAATTTAGTAATTCTGAATACTTTGAAACCTGTTGCTAAGTGTTTTTACAGAAACCTATATCAAAAAGTTATTTTAGTAAAATCGTAAACTTTTATTTTCTGGATATAATAGATAAGCCATGCTGACCACTTAGTTAATCATCACTTACATGTCTGAAATGAAAAAAAATGCACTTAGTAATTATGTAGAAAATGCTTTAATGACATTAAAGTGATCTCATAATTGCCATCTAATTAAACACATTTGTTGTTAATAAGATATAGTGAAACAGATCACAGTATGATGAAATTGATCATAAATGGCTTTTTTGTTGACTACTGAATGGGCATCTTAATGTAACTGAACAGTAAAACTACATTTGCTGTGTATTTGCTAATTTGGGACACTGCCTTTCAGGCATATGGCCTATCTTTGGCCTTTTCAATAGGCTATGTCCTAATTTTAATTTCCAAAAATGTAAACAATTCTAATAAGGAAAAAATGAGATTAAAGTTATATTCTTGCCTTGTTGAAGACATTAACAGTATCCTTGTAGGTAATGTGTTTCTGTCCACAAATGTCAGACTTGTAAGGAAGAAGAAAACCCCAACCCAGCCCCCTTCCCCTCAAAAACACAAGCAAAAAGAAAAACCTCCGAAGAAACGCTAAGGGTATGCAGCTTATCTAGGGATACTTCCCTTTCAGAAAATTCAAGTAAGCTTGTAGGATCTCAAAAAAAAACCAACAAAGAAAAGGAAGAAACTTTTTTCTGGATATTCAGATTTGGTCAAATTTTTCCACTTCTGACTGGACTAATGTAAAATAAATTCAAATATCCTACCAATGACATACTCCATTAAACTTTTCACACCTCACAGAGGTTAATTATAGAAAACTTAAGGGTGGTTTTTTTTTTTTTTTTTTTACCACCTGGCTCCAATAAATGTTTAAGTTTAAAAATAACGGTGATGTTTTAGCCATGGTGATCTAAGGATCAGAATTACCCAGTTCTGGACACAGAGGTCCTTTTGTGGTCTAACACAAGGTACCATCTTTCTTCACAAGCCTTGATTTCCTTAAAAATGTTATCTTCTGAAAAAAAAAA